CTCCAGTCTCTGATGCATATCCAGTTCCTTGAAAACAGAGACTTCAGTCACAAGGGAGGAAAAACAAAAGATTATCAGGAACTAGGATCAGATGTCTATCCCACTGGGAGACCAGATGTCTGTCCTACCCGGAGACCAGCCCCTATATAACTGGCTTGTGGTCTTTGTTCTATAAGATGGGCTTTAAGGACGCTGCTCCACTATCTTACATCTTTGCTGGCAAAAATAAATAAACCCTTTCTATTCCACCAACTTGCCTCCTGACTTTTTGGTTAGTCTTGCGGCAAGCAGAACGAGCCTGTTGCTCGGTAACAAGCCAACCTCCTCCCCAAGCTGAGCCCTGAGCTGAGAGTACGGCTGCCTGGCCCACAGCTGGACACAGCTTCATGAGAGACCCTGAGCCAGAGGCACTCGGCTTAAACACATGTGAATTCCTGATCCAAAGAAACTGTGAGATAAGAAATTCCAAGGGTAAAATTTGAGACATTTTGTTATGGAACAATAGATAACCAATACACCATGTCACTGTGCATGACAGAAGAGGCATGTTAGGGCCTCAAGGGGTAGAAACAAGGTAGGGAATCCAAATATGTTTATCCCACCTGCTGATACCTTTTCATGGATACTCCTCAGTCGTATCACTGCACATTGATTGAGGAGAACACACCTCCCCACCCACCCCAGAAGAGCAACTTCCACCCCGTGAGGAGTCTCTAAACACGGGGAAGGGGGCGCATGGAGTGTATGCACAGGCGGATCACCAGACGCTTCCATCAAAACAGAGTTCACCTGCAGGAGCAGATCTGCAGCGTCCAGGGCAGAGGAGAGAGGGAGGTCCCACAGCGTAAGGTAAGTTGTGAGAAACTGAATAGACACATGGACAATGGACAGACCACATGTAAAAACAGAACTCTGACCCACGGCCTGCAGCAGCGTGCCCAGGAAACCAACCCCTTATCTACAGTCACCAGCACAGAAGCCAGCCTGCTGTAAGTCAGGCTTGTAGGAAGCCAGACTGCTATCTCTACCAACAATCCAGGAAGCTGTACAATAACCCTGGTAACCATTAGCCCCAAATGGCTGGGACTTGGTTAATAACTGACAGCTTCTCTAATTTTTTGTCCCAACTTCCAATTTAGAATCACCCAGAGAAAGCCAAATGTGCTCCCCTAACCAGTCACATAGGATGCCCCGCTTCTAGTGAGCCGCCACAGCTTCCCTGGGCCCACAGCCTCCTACCAGGGCCCACCTGGAACCTTCCCTTTTCCCCACTATAAAGCTTTTCCACTCCTCTGCTGGCCTTTGAGTCTCTGCCAAAATGTAAGTGATGGTGGCTGACCCCTTTGCGATAGCCAGCTCTGAATAAGTAACTTTGCTTGTTCTCATTTGGATGGTCTTCCTTTATTTCTACACCTGTTAGGAAACAAACCCCAGATCCACAGTAACATTGGAGGAGGAAACGGTGTGTGCATATGTGTACATGTGCATGTGTGTGTGTGTGTGTGCCTGTGCATGTGTGTGTGTAGGGCATGTGAGGGAGGGAGGGAGAGAGCCCGGGATAACAAGGAAGAGCAAGGAACACGTGTGTTTCTTTGCTCCCGTGTTTTGTTCAGGAGCATTCTCCATGGATGTAGGGAGAGTGTGGCAATGTACAAACCTTTTTCCTCTTCCTCCTGTCTGCTTAGCTGGACCACATTTCCCAGCCTGCCTTGCAATTAGGTGTGGCCGTAGGCCTGACTTCTGCCCACAGAATGTGGGAGAAAGTGACAGACACTGCTCCCTAGGCCTGGATCCTAGAAACTCCCCTCGCAATCATCTATATTCTCTCCTCTCTAACCTGCTGGCCACATACAGAGGGTCCAGTGGAGACTCGAAGGCCTCCACAATGGTGGAGCCACTAGGTGGAAGGAGGCTGGTGCCCTAAGGGACTGTGTGGCTCAGAACACTGCCGATCTGCCTTGGCCTGCCATGATGTGAGAACACACACATGGATTGTTAAGCCCCAGAGACCTTACGGCGTTTACTGCAGCAGTTAGCTTATTCTGACGAAAACAGGCGCCATCCACCCAACTCCATGCTCTGATCGGCTGGATTGAATTGTGTCTCCCCAAAAGATATGTCCAAGTCCTAATCCCCAGAGCATGTAAATGTGACCTTATTGGGAAGTAGCGTCTTTGCAGATGTCATTAAGTTAAAGATCTTGAGACAAGATCATCCTGGATTTGGGGTAAGCTCTAAATCTAATGACTGGTATTTTTAAAAGAGAAAAGAGAGGGACATTTGCTTTAAGGAGACACAGAGAAGAAAACTAGGTGAAGATGTGGGCAGAAACTGGAGTGATGCAGCTACAAGCCAAGGAACACCAAGGATAGATGGTGCCACCAGAAGCTGGGAGAGAGGCCTGGGACAGATTCTCCCCCAGAGCTCCAAAAGGAACCAGTGCTGCCAACACCTTGATTTCAGACTTCTGGCCTCCAGGACTATGAGAGAATAAATCTCTGTTGTTTTAATCCACCCAGTATGTGGTACTTTGTAGCTCCAGGAAACTCATACACCAGGCCCCAAGCATCTTCCCCAGACACCTGGCACCCGGGCTTCGGAGTCAGTCTTGAGGTGGTAAATGACGAGCTTTGGTTGAGGCTGTGTGCGTGTGTACATATGTGTGAAATGTATTGAACATTTAGGAGATGCTCTGAATATACAATTAATGGAACAAATATTCAGTATAAGACTTCATTTTTCTTGGACTTTATTTATACAACAGCACTTATAATTTGAAGGTTAAATAAAGAAAGAACAAGGGAACAAGGGCAGTGGATCTTGTCTTCAAGCGAATCTTCTGTTCAGCTCTGCTACTGACTATTTGTATATGTGGCCCAACTCATAAAATGAGGAGGAAGAGCCAAATTAAAAAAAAAAAGACTCCTAAACTATAGGAGTTCTTCTCATAATCTTTAGCTTCAATATTGCAAAGGTTCTTTAAAGCCAGGGAAACTTTACAAGACAAGGATGCCCACTTTTGCCACTTCTATTCAACATAGTATGAGAAGTTCTAGCCTGAGCAATTAGGCAAGAAAAAGAAATAAAAGGCATCCAAATCAGAAAGGAAGAAGTACAATTATCTCTGTCCACAGACGACATAACCTTATATCTAGAAAACCATAAAGCTTCCACACACACAAAAATGTTAGGACTAATGAAGGAATTCAAGAAAGTAGCAAGATATAAAAACAACACATAAAAATCAGTTGCATTTCTGTAAACTAACAATGAACAATCTGAAAAGGAAACTAAGAAAACAGTTCCATTTACAACAGCATCTAAAAGAATAAAATACTTAGGAATTAACTTAACCAAGGAAGTGAAAGACTTTTACACTGAAAACTACAAAACATTGCTTAAAGAAATTAAAGACGACATAAATAAATGGAAAGACACCCTATGTTCATGGATTGGAAGACTTAATATTGCTTAAATGCAAATACTACCCAAAGTGATCTACAGATTCAATGCAATCCCTACCAAAATCCCAATGACAGTTTTTACAGAGATAAAAAAAAAAAACCCACCCTAAAATTCACATGGAATCTCAAGGGCACCAAATAACCAAAACAATCCTGAAAAAGAAGAACAAAGCTGGAGGACTCACACTTCCTGGTTTCAAAACTCACCACAAAGCAACAGCTATCAAAACAGTGTGGTACTGGCATAAAGACAGACATATACACCAATGGCATAGAACAGAGAGCCCAGAAATAAACTCTTACATATATGGTCAAATAATTTTTGACAAGAGTGCCAAGACCAATGGGGAAGGGACAGTCTTTTCAATAATGGTGTTGGAAAAACTGGATAGCCACATGTAAAGAATGAAGTTGGACTGTTATCTACCACCATATAAAAAATCGACTCAAAAATTATTAAAGAACTAAATGTAAGAGCTGGCTGGAAGAACTTCAGAAGTGAGGGCTGCTCTATGGACCTGGAGGGTAAAGAAAAAAAGAGATCTTTGATGGAGAGAAGAATTGCTGGCATTTTTGAACACCTGTTTTGGGACAGGTAGTTTGTAGAAATGCTTTCACTTAACCCTCCTCAAATTCCTGTGAGGTCCATATAGCTTAGCATGAAAAAGAAAATAAAATTAGCCATAATCCTCTAGTCTAGAGGTGACCACTGGTGTGAAGCTCTATATTTTTTTAAAAATGTTTTTCCTTATTGAATTTCTGTTCAAGACTCAACATAGCAATGGGAGCTCACGGCAACCAGGGAAACAAATTAAAATTCCTATCACTGAGGCTCATTTCCCCTGGGGGGTTGGGGAATATGATCATAGCAAACAATGAGAAGCAGATGGCATGACGGAATTCATGTGAAAGTGACCAGCTAAAGGGCACCACCCCAAACAACCAAAGTCTGGATTTAAGCCATAGCCTCAGGTAATCTCCATCATTCATTTGTTCAATGAGATATCATTTATTAAGCAGCTACTATGCACAGGTACCATGAAAGATCTGGAAATACAAAAGAAGGGGTGCTGACCTTACCCCTCCAGGGTTTCATAGTCTAATGGGCGGTGTGGGGAGGTAGACAAATTAACACAGAAGGATGGCAGTATTTAAGAATGCTGTTGGCTGGCCTGGTGGTGTAGTGGTTAAGTTTGGCGTGTTCCACTTTGGCGGCATGGGTTTGCGGGTTTGGATCCCGGGTGCGGACTCACACCACTCGTCACTCATGCTGTGGCAGCGACCCACATATAAAGCAGAGGAAGATTGGCACAGATGTTAGCTCAGGGCTAATCTTCCTCAAGCAAAAAAAGAGGAAGATTGGCAAGAGATGTTAGCTCAGGGCCAATCTTTCTCAGCTAAAAAAAAAAAAAAAAATTAAGAAAAAAAAGAATGCTGTAACTGGGGGACGCAAGGAGTGGGAGAGCCACCTCTTCGTGGAGGTTGTGGAAGACCTCCAAGTGGAGGTGACAGCTCTGAGCAGTGGACTTCAGTCCTGAATGTGGCCTTCAGATGTGAACTCTGGTGCTGAGTGCAGTGCAGTGAAGATGGCCCCACACAGCAACAGCAAAGTCTGGCCCCAAAGGAGAAGCCACTTCTTGTGCCGCCTCCTGTTATAATAAATGCACACAAGAAAAAACCCAAAAGCGCTGCTGCATTTCCACGAATCTACCCGCTTTTAAATGGAGAATTTACAGAGGGCATGCCGCGCCTGAGTGAGCCGGTAAATTTTCTCCTTCAAGATATTCCTCTTGGTGGAGGTCTCAGCCTGTTCTTGGAGCAGCCAGCTATAGTGCTCTTTTTCGTTCAGTATCTGCATCATGGCTTTCTGCAACCAATCGCCGTTCTCTTGGAGCATAAAATACTGAATTATGAATGGGATCTGGTTGGCGAGACGTTTGCTGGTTTCCTGGAAGAGGGGGTAAGAAGAGTTGGCTGGAGGGATCTCAGCCCAAGGCCTATGGTTGCAGAGAGAAGCCTTGGGGCTCTTGGACGCATGCATGTGCATGGTTGCATCCATGTGGTCCCATCCACCCCGACTCCGGTGGTCAGGATCAAACCACAGGAACGTTCCATCTGGGATGTCCAATTTTTACTACCCAGGTATTCCCTCTGGCACTAAAAACCTACCTGGTAGGCTAGCAAACCCATACCACATTCTGGGCATCCTAGCCTTTCCAAGAGTTCCCTCACCTCCAACAACTTTACCTCCGCAATGAGACTTCCTGGCCCCGTGATACCCCTGGCTCCCTCTGGGGGCAAATCGGGACCTGTTTCAATGTTCGCTTCATTCCCTCTCTTCATAGGCATGTCCAGTTTGCCTGACTGTTCAACCCCATCCCTGGGTAACTCTACTGTCTATTCTAAGAAAAGCCTTCAGGAGTTGGGCTTCTTTGCAGTTTAAAAGCTATCTTCCTTTAGTCCAGGGACCGAGGGCTGGAAACCACAAAGCAGATTGGGTCACAAAATCTAGGGAAAGGAATTTTCATTCCTGCTTTGAGCTAGCGAGTTTGAGGCACTTCAAGAGCTGAATGTCTTCTGAACATTGAGGAAAGCTAAATCATATCCAGGAAAGTGAGTGCTTGTTGTATTCTTTGCTGTATTCTGATAATAGTAATTTTGAAATTCATGCAGAGCATAAAATATAAAGAACTTTGGGGTTGGAATTAATTTTGAGTACATTCTCTGCCATGTTAAAAATCTGATTTGGGGGGCCGGCCCGGTGGCACAAGCAGTTAAGTGTGTGCGCTCTGCTGCAGCGGCCCGGGGTTCGCCGGTTCGGATCTCGGGCGTGCACTGATGCACTGCTTGGCAAGCCATGCTGTGGCGGGTCCCATATAAGGTGGAGGAAGATGGGCATGGATGTTAGCCCAGGGCCAGTCTTCCTCAGCAAAAAAATAGGAGGATTGGCAGATGTTAGCTCAGGGCTAATCTCCTCACCAAAAAAAAAAAAAAAAGTCTGATTTGGGGCAAATTCATTAGAAGTGCCTGGATATGGTTAGATGTAAAAGTATAAATGAGCTAATATATGAGCAGAAAGGGCTTAGTATATAGTAGGGTCCCTCCCTTCTGCCCTCAGTTAAGCATCTGTCAATCAGGATACTCCAGTGCACTGACCTGTGTGCCTACATACTCACCAAGAAATACGCATTCAGGTGGACCCCAATTTCAGTGATGGAGGAAATCGAAGAGGTATCATTTGAAACAGACGATTTCAAATTTAGATTCTGTGGAAGCTTTCCCAACGGGTTAAAAATCTCTTCTCGGACTTTGCTGAGAACCGCGCTGTAAATCTGGTCTTGACAGAAAACCAGCTGCTCCATCCTGAACTGAAGTCGGATCAGATTTTCTGCTGTTTCCGCTTGTTTCATTTTTATCTCCTCAATCACGTGCTATTTGGATAAGAAAGAGAAACACGTTCCCTTTTTTCTTTCCTGGTGTTTAGACAACTTAGGAAGTACTATTGTGTTGAACACAGAATTAAAGATAATTTACGGTGAAAGAAGGTCTGAGACTTTAATGGTGATTTCCAGAAGGCCCCCCACTTCACCGTTCGTCACTGTCCTCATCACTCCTGTTTTGTAGCTCTGCTCCGTCATGTGCCTGTCCTGCCTTCTCTCCCTCCCGTTCTTTCTGTCTACTCTCACCTCCATTTCTTCCCACACCACCAGCTTTCTGCTTCCTCAAATGTGTTTAGTCGACATTGTTACATCATCGCTGTTGTCTCTGTAGCTGGCTCAAATCCAACCATTCAAGAATGACTCCAGCACTAAGGAACACAGGGGGATAACAGTTTGATATCTTTGTTTCCCAGAAATCCTGTGATTCCTGTGTCACCCACACAGTCAAAGGCATTCTGGGAAAGGAAGAAATGACATAGTGGAGAGGAGTCACTTCCTGGCTTTTGAGTTTCAAACAGACTTTTGTACATCGAAGGCAGAGACAGTGGTTTGAAGAAAGACAGGGCCTGTGAGTTTCACGGGGGCTGGTTTTTCTTCTTTTTTGGAGTGTATGTGGCAAACAACGATGTTTGTGGCAAATCCCCTCGTAGGTTTGGGGCCTGAAAGCAGAAATGTCACTTCACAAGAGGAGTGACACAGGAGGTGACAAGACCCCTGGCTCTGACATGGCTCAGGAGGAGCAGAGTACAAACGGCGGAGGGGAGTGTCTGAGCTGGGGGCCCTGGAGAGCTCCAGGAGCCCTGGCAAGGTACAGGAAGCTGTGCCAAGACTTCTTAGCAAGTCTATCCAAGGACAGTGCAAAGGGGTGGAGGTTCCTTGGCCCCATTTCAGCCTGCACTTGCAGCAGAGTGCTCCTGTGCCCTGGCTGGGCTAGGTAAGAGCTCAGGGGAACAGCCCTGTGGTCAGGAGCACAGGGGATCCAGAGGACCAATTGCCAAGGCCTGGGAAGGATGGCGTACATCTTGGAAGCCACTAGCCTGGAAAATTGACAATCAAGGACCAGGTATGTCACCCATCCCATGATGGGGCACCCCAGGACTCAGACACATCCCCTGGGAAGGTGGAGAGGTCAGAAGTAAGATTTATCTGTCAACAACTGACAAAAGAGGTGAAAGGAGAAATGATTATGTTATGGTAAAATGACAGAAATTCTTTTTCTTGCTCACCTGAGTTGTGGAACTAGATTCTGACCCATCGGCCTAGGCCTGGGCAGAAGAGGATTTTTATCTAGAGCCCAGGTGGGAGGCAGGACACCTCTCTTTTCCCTTTACTGAGAGAGGGGTTCGGAAAAGAGTTGCTAAGTTGCTAAGTGGAAACCCACATAGCTGTAGCACTATTTTTAAGTCAAACTTATAAAAATTTTGGACTAGGACTACTAGAAAATGCTGTCCTTTGTGACAGAAAAAGATTCAAAATACCAGCCAGTCACTAGATAGGGTCACATGTTCAGTTTATTACCACTAAGCCTAGGTCCTGCTATGTTGCAGAAGATTATGCAGAAAAGATAACTAGGTCATGTGCATTGTTCCATTCCTCCCAGGAAATGCAGACCAACTCCTGAGCAGAAGCAAAATGGTGGATGCTTTTGGAGTCTCCAGCCCAGCAAGCCTGCAATTGTAACCCTGGCCTCGTATTCCCAGACAGTAATTATCCAACTTCTTTCGAAGCTTAGACCCGGATACATCAGCCAGTATACCAGTGATCAGCAAGTAACCTGTGGGCGCTTACCTGGGCTCTCTGATGAAGGTTGGAATATTCGCTAAAATGTTTTCTGGCTGTGTCAATGAAAGTTTGCCAGATAATTTCTGATCAGAGAAAGAAGAAAACATCAGTAAAATGCAGCAGGAATAAAATGGGTTAAAGACACAAGGAGGATAAATTAAATCACGATACACTGACTCCATTCTAGGGCGGAGCTCCCCAGATCTACAGATCAAGAGATAAGGAGGGGATGCTACATAATCCCAGGGAGACAGGAAATCCACCCCGAGCAGGTCCTATCAGTTTCCTGTTCTTTCATGGATTGTGTGTTTTCTCCAGGGTTAGCATCTGACTATTCCTCACTTAGCTGTGTGGAGGGCTAGGTATGGTTAGTTAAAACTCATGTACACTCTCATCCTCCCTGCAAAATGGGCAAAGAGGATCTGCAGATTGTGTTTGGTAATTCCACTGAGACCTGTGGAAGGTGGTGGGATGGTCACTGGAAAGGCATGCAGGAAATTTCCTCACCAACAGTATTCTGGAGCATGCCGAGTGCGGGGTCTACCAGTTGTTCAATGTACTGCTGCACGATGATTTGAAACGTCTTGTAGTTGACAAATCCAAGAAGTTCTTTGCCGCGATACTGCTTTTCATATTTTGAGACTTCTTCATGAATAATATTTTTAACTGCCACATAAAACAAACCACCATGGTAAACACTAATAATTCTAAAGACATTTTAAAGATAGGAACATTTTTTAAAAAGACTTGCTTACCCACTGTACCCTATGGCAGTGCTTCTGAACAGAGTTTTTTTCATAATTGAAAAAAAAAATTCATGGTCTGATAATGCCAGTTTGAGAAATGCTGACTTTCAAGAAACAAAAATCTCATTCTATGGAAATGTGTCTCAATTGAGAGTTATCACCTCAAGAGAGAAGTTTAGTATTTATAACTGGTAGGAAAAAAATCTGATTAGTTAAATGAAAATAGAAACAAAAATTCTTGTAGCACTTTTATAGATCTCCCAAGAATACATCCAGACTACGTTGGAGGAATCCTACCGTGGAAGTGAGCAGTGCTGTTTTTACCAAGTGCCAAGACAAACGAGGATACAACGCGCACAGAGGCACACGCGCGCGCACGCGCGCACACACACACACACACACCCTACTGGCCTGTGGGCTGGAGCAGAATGGAAGCTGGAACTCTGCCAGGTGAAGCAAGAAGGTTCTTGTCAAACCATTGACCTCTCTGGTCTTAGATTAGGGGTGAAGGGAAGCGGGGAACGGAGTAAGTGAGTTGTCTAGCCTCAGAACAGAGGAGCAAGAAGTCAGAGGTGGTGGAATTGTCTTCTGTTGAGTTGGTGAGGGCAATGCTCCACATGGAAGGGTCTTAATGGCTGGGAAGCAGTTGTAGATGACTAAGGGTCCCACGATCTCTTGTGCGGACATGCCCAGCTCTTTGCACACTTTTTATGTGCCAGAAGTAGCTTCTGGTCTTGGGAAATATGACACCGCTCTTAGGGGGAGCCCTGTCCCAGGACTCACCTTTTTGGGTATTGGCTGAAAGTACGAGAACCCACTTTTTAAACTCCTCTCTGATTTTGTTATATAAGCGGGTCTCTTTCTCCTTTACAAATTCTTCTCCTTCTTTTAGCTTTTCAATGTCCTGATTGAACATTTTGATTTTCTGAAAATGAGATAAAGTCATCAATCTATGCTGCAATCACATTAAAGGAGCCAGGACTGGGGGCAGCAGGGTGTGGTGTTGGGGGGAGGTCAGATCCCCCACCAGACCACCTCATCTCCCAGGGGTCTGGGAGATGGACACGGACACAAGGCAGCTCTGGCAGCCATCTTGAGGACCACCTTAAGATGTGCTGGGCCATAGTAAGGAAGCAGATGCCCATCTATGGGGATCTGGTGACAGAGAACCCAGTTTACGTGACTGAGTGTCACATGGAGTCCTTGGTAACCCTCACCTCAATCAGAAAGAACATTTTATCAGCTTCATTGCTGGGGATGTTCTCTCCACACTGGCGCAGCTCCTCTGTCGCCCTCTGGTGGCTCTCCCTTATTTGATTTTCCAACAACGGGAGTGATTTCTGAACAAAATAATAGCAAACAATGAACATCCGCAGCTTGTTGACATAGCTGACAGATTTCTTAGGTATATGAGCAGAATCCCATTTGAAAGCATTCAATGGGATCTGGAATGTCTACTATTGTGTGAAGCTTGTTAAGATGGAGGCCTGTTAAGGAGTCCAAGGAGGGCTCTGCATGCAATGGGTGTGCGCTATGGCGTGGATGATCTGGAGCAGAATTTTGCAGTTCTCTCATGTGATTGGAGTGGGGATGAATCGCATGACGGCCAGTTTTTGTTTTTTGTTTGGTTTGGGTCGGTGCTTTGTATCTAGAGAACAAGTACACTTGAAGGTAACGTAAGATTTCTTGAGTCAAATGTTCTGTTGGTGATAACTTGAGTGTGATAACTTGAGTGTTGAGTTGGGGATAATTATAAACTGATACATGGTGCTTCGGTTAAGAATATGTCTTGGGTGTTGGGTGTCAGGCTGGGTACAGTCCTAACCAGTCAAAGATGCTGATGATAATAATGAAGACGAGGAGAAGGAAGGATGTAGGGAGCACCACAGAGGGTTGTCTCTGGGCCAAGCATCATTTCAAGCATCTCCACGTCTCAGTTAAGCCCCATACTGCAGTACGAAGCATGTAGCTTTATTGCCTCTTTTTTATAAGAAAGGACCCCAAGGCTCAGTGAGGCAAATTGCTTGGATATCATCGCTGAGCGAGCAAGTGGCAGAGTTTCAATTCACACCCCACTCACCACCCCCACAGCTCGAGCAGGTGAGCACTGCAGGTGAAGGCACCTGAGTGAGAAGCGGCCCCAATTTCTGCTTTGGTGAACGAGGTGGCTGCAGCCAGCCAGGCAGATGAGTTCACTGGGATGTGGAGGCATTTTGTGGATTAGCACACCAAGAAGTTGATAAGGTCTCACAGGCTCTTTTTATTTTTAATCTATAGATAGAAATGTATTAAATTTTTTCCTAATATTTCAAATTATCACCATCATCGAGTCTTGATATAATTTTGAAAATTAATTTAAATATTACAAACTTTAAATTCAAATTTTAATGTAAAATATTTAAATGTTGAGAAATATGTTATCAGAAAAAGTTATCAAAATGCAACATCATTTTGCAAAAAATATGTTTTTCTCAATTAGACAAGGATATATCTTTTGGAGCCCTTTTCTGCAAACTTAGGGGATTCCACTAGAATCAGTGCTCCTGAAAATGCGTTCCCCAGATCACCTGGGAAGTTAGAAGTGCACATTCGTGGGCCCCACACCTGACCTACTGACTCAGAAGATCTGAGCAATCTGAGTTGAAACAAACCTTTCAGGTGACTCTTGTGCATACTACAGTTTGAGAACCACCGGCCCCTGCCAACCAAATATATATATACGTATATATATATATATATTTTTTTTTGGTGAGGAAGATTGTCCCTGAGCTAACATCTGTGCCAATCTTCCTCCATTTTGTATGTGGGACGCCGCCACAGCATAGCTTGATGTGCGGTGTGTAGGTCCGTGCCTGAGATCTGAACCCATGAACCCCGGGCAGACCAAGCGGAGTGCATGAACTTAACTACTATGCCACCAGGCCAGCCTCCCAAATATTTCTTGAATACGTGTCTCCTGGCTGGAAAGAATTCATTGCTTTTGTCTGACACAATTTAGCGTAGACTGGAATCCAAGCCCAGGGATCATGTCTGCTCTAAGGGTTAACCTTCAATCTTCAACTTTGTACACGAAGGTTCAGGCAAGCGCTACGAATATTCTATTTCTCAAGAAGCACTAAATCACAGTTCTCCTATCTTTAATGACATCATGATAACTTTGTCTGTGGTTGTAACTTGTCGAGAATCAGTGAAAACTGAACATTTATTTCCTACAAGTTCGACCCTGGGAAAATGTTTTTTTTTTTTATACTGTGAAGTGCTGACAATCTATTAAAAAAAAGAAAACTTTGCTAACTCGGTGTTTGTGCCTTTTTACACTGCTCGATTTTGCTTCCCTTTTTCCAAAACTCTCTTGTGAGCCTCTGACCAAGAGCGATTTGGTCTTCAGAATGTGCCTGTTTGGGCAGTTCAGTGGGGTGTCTTAGCCAACTCATGACCAAGAGAATGACTTGGGCAGGCTGCAATTTTTATAACTCTCAACCCAACCTATTGACTCACATTGATGTGCAAGATGAGCTCAGTGGTAAGTCTTTCTGCCAGACGGGGCACCGTGGCCTTTCCTTCCTCCAGGAGAGCACTGAAACAAGACACAGCACACAGGAATTCAGGAAGGACCCATATGACCATTTTTCCAGTACTGGGCTTTGTTAGTGGGTAGGTGAGCTCAGCTGCCTGAGGTGACACATGCCATCAGAAAAGCGAGGTAGTGCCTGAAAAAACAGCAGCTGATTACGGAGTGAGCCCATACCTAGGCGAGCATGGTACTAGGAAGGTTACATTCATTTTCTCTTTTTATCATCCCAAAAAACTCATGAAGTAAGTCATCTTTTTATTTACAGGAAAACAAAATAAACCTAACTTCATAAAAGTCAGTGACTTCTCCAAACCAGTACTTTATTTCTTGTAGCAAATATTTCTCCCTGAATAGCAAAATCAGTCTTGAGAAAGCAGAACAAAGCTGGAGGCATCACAGTTCTTGATTTCAAAATATATTACAAAGCCACAGTAATCAAAACAGTATGGTACAAGCATAAAGACAGACATATAGACTTATGGAATAGAATACTGAGCCCAGAAATAAATCCACTCATATACAGTTAACTGATCTTTGACAAAGGTGCCAAGAATATACAATGGGGAAAGGATAATCTTTTCAACAAACGGTGCTGGGAAAACTGGATATCCACATGCAAAAGAATGATACTGGATCCTTATCTTGCACCATACATACAAGTCAACTGAAAATTGATTAAAGGCTTAACCTAAGACCTGAAACTGTAAAACATCTAGAAGAAAACATATGGGAAATTCCTCATGATATTGGTCTTGGGAATGATTTCATAGATATGATACCAAAACCACAGGCAAAAAAAGTGAAAATAGACAAGTAGGACTACATGAAACTAAAAAGCTTCTGCACAGCAAAGGAAACAATCAGTGGAGGACAAGGAAACCTATGGAATGGGAGAAAATATTTGCAAACCACATATCTGAGAAGGGGCTAATTTCCAAAATATATAAGGAACTCCTACAATTCAATAGCAAAAAACCCTAATAACCCAATTAAAAAATCAGCTAAAGACTTGAAGATATTTCTTCAAAGAAGACATACAAATGGCCAACAGGTGCATGAAAAGATGCTCAATGTCACTACAGGGAAATGCACATCAAAACTATAATGAGATATCACTTCACATCTATTTGGATAGATATTACCAAAAAAACAAAAGACAAGTGTTGGCAAGGATGTGGAGAAATTGGAACACTTGAATACTATTGGTGGGAATGCAAAATGGTGCAGCCATGATAGAAAGGATGGAAGTTCCTCAAAAAATTATAGATGGAACTACCATATGACCCAGTAATCCCACTTCTGGATAGTTATTCAAAGGAATTGAAATCAAGATCTCAAAGAGATATTAGCACTCTTATGTTCATTATAGCACTATTCACAATAGCCAAGATGAGGAAACAGACTAAATGTCCATGAACAGAAGAATGGAGAAAGAAAATGTGGCAGATACACGCAATGGACTAGGATTCAGCTAAAAAAGAAGGAATTTCTGCAGATGTGACAACACAAATGAATCTCTAGGACATTATGTTGTATGAAATAAGCCAGTCACAGAAGGACATCTGTCCACTTACATAGCTATCCAAAATAGTCCAACTCATACAACAAAGAATGGAATAGTGGTTGCCAGGTGTTGGGGGAGGGGAAAATGGAGAGATGCTAATCAATGAGCATCAAGTTTCAGTTATGCAGGATGAATAAGCTCTAGAGATCTGCTGAACAACACTGTGCCTATAGTTAACAATACAGTCTTGTGCACTTAAAAATGTGTTAAGAGGGTAGACCTCATGTTAAGTGTTCTTTCTACAATAAAATTAAATTTAAAAAGTGTTTACACAGTGCTTACTAAGTGCCAGGCAGTGTTCTAAGGGCTTTATAAATATTAACTTATTTAATCATTGAACAACTGATTTTAGAGAAAGGCAAAGGCCCAGAGAGGTGAAGTAGCTTGCCCAGGGCCACACACCAGATGGTATGACTGCAAAGTGTTTGCCATTAACACCAGTTCGGGAAGGACCCCACAGGATTGTTTTGCCAATGCTGCTCTGAGTGCCTCTTGTGCAAGGGCTGAGTCCCAGGACGTGGGCACTCAAGGATTTAAACTCCTACGTTCAATGACAAGCACTTAATGCACTTTCTCATCTAAGACTTAACTTGCCCAAACCTTGAGCAGTGGTTTTAATGTGTGGTCCCTGGACCAGCGCCATCAGCCTTAACTGGTACCTTGTTAGAGACAGAAATTCTTGCACCCCCTCACCCCCTAGACTGCAGAAACTCTGAGACAGGGCACAGATAGCTGGATTTCAACAAACTCTCTAGGAGATTCTGCTGCTTGCTCAGGCTTGAGAACCATGGGTGTGATTATTATAGAATCTTCTCTCTGCTCAGCAAGCAGAGTTTCCCTCTCCCGTGACCCCCAACGCTATTGAAAGCCTCTGTTTCTTTCATTCCGGGCAGGAGCAGAGAGGAAGAAAGAAGGAACTGGCATGGTATTTACGGCGTGCTGGCTGTTGGTGCACCAGAACCTTGGCGTGTGTCATATTATTGGATCCTAAACACCATCCTGGGAAGCAGTAGTAGGGCTCCCTGGGCAGATGAGAAAGCAAAAGATCAGAGAGGCTGAGCCATTTCCCAAGGGCACACAGCAAGTAGCAATTCACCGTCTTCCCTCTGCCTCTCTCCTTAAAGCAGACGTGACCTCTCTCTTATTACTCTGGTCTCACATAGTTCAGGAATGGCAAGTTCCCAAATAAAATAAAACTGAAAACTGCCCAATTCAATGGGAAAAATCCCAATGTCCTGCAAACCGCAGTCTCTACAGGGTAATTTATATTTAACAAAACCAGTTAGTTTTATTAAACTAACTCTCAAGAGGTGGAGAGTTCTATAAAGCGCATTTTAATGTGTACCATTTATGATGGTTGATACAGGTTTCTGGAAGTTAACCATAGCTTAACATAGGTTGACATTGGTTTCTGGACTAGTGTTTCTATTCTTTTCTCCATTCACTATTTGTTTGACCTCATTACTCTTATCTATAAAAATGGGAAGAACCTTACCTGCCATATGTATCACCTAAGATTTTATGGGACTCAAACAAGACAGCAAGTGAAAACATTTTGGGAAACAAAATGCCCTAGGCTCTATGAAACGCCGTATTACAATTTTCAGTCAGCACCAACAGAATCCAAGACAAAATGGTTTGTCTAAATAAGCCCATACATTTAACACTCGAATAAAGACAAAGATAGGTTGTGCTACGTTGTATAATGTTTATATATAATTTGGTGATCATCTGGGCCAATTCTGGGAGGCAAGGCTGGCTTCCGTGCAGTCCAGTTCCAGGGCTGTCCTATAGAATCTCACCTGAAATACGGGTGTGTCTGAAAGAACATCATTTCTTTCTTGGTTGCCTCAGCCAAGCTCAGCTTGTTTGTGATCTCCTGCTGGCCCCGGCACTTGACGACCATGTAGCCCTTCTTGAGGCGGTAGGTGAGGTTCTGCACCACATTCACGATGATTTTTTCAGTGCCCTTGTCCACTAGATCTGGTTTGGTCAGGATTCCTGTGGGATGATTAAAGCAGGGCAGTGGAAAGCTTAGTTCTCTTCTCACATATATTTGAACGCTGCTGGGCTATGGGATCCTTTTGGGTCAGTATCAACAGTCTTCTGCAGCCTTGATTGCCCTGTGCCTGACAGCCCATTCATTCATTTCATCATCACCCGTCTTCTTTGCACTTTTATTTGCTCACCTGCTCACTCAACTCATTAAGTGCCTTGTATCATTTATTTGATAGATGTTTCTTGGGTACCAGCTGGGTGCCAGGCCCTAGGGCAGGTCAACTGACTGGCTCCATCACCATGCTTCCAAGAAGACCCCGTTCCCTACTGTAAGGAGGGTCTGTGCCCTCTCTCTAGTGTCTCCCACCACAGACTCACTCTGCCTCTCCTTGGGAGCACCTCCTTTGATAATCTCCTCCCTGCCATCTCCTCTCACTCTTCTGCCCCACACCTTCCCACTCTCGCTGGACTGAAAGTTTTGAATTCTGAGTGTTTATTTGGGTTTGCGTTCTTTGAGTATCAAATAGCCACTGCATTTTTTTGTTTGTTTATGTTAGAAACCCGAGTGTCATCTTCTACTATTTTTGTCCTTATTTTTAATTTGTGGTTATGTCTGGTCATCTGGTCTACCACTTCCTGCAATCTTCCTGGCACCTAAGCAATTGAATTTCTCAGTCTCTCTCTTCTAAACTTCCTGTTACCAAAAGTTGTCATTTAAGAGCATATCTTTATACTCATTAAATGGTTTGTGTGAGCACAGACCTTCATGTACTAACAGAGCTAAGACATCTCCGAATCTACTTCTGCACCTACTATGGGTAAAGGAGAGGACCTGCCAATTGGAGGGGAGAAAGCAGCCAAGAAAATCCTTCCCTGGAACCAGCCATCATTCATGAAAGCCTAGATCATTGTACTTTATTTTGAGAAAAGCAGTAAGTAAGATAATAAAAATTGAGGCTTGCCATTAAAATTCCCCCTAGCTGGAGAGAGAGGGCCTTCTCATACTGTGTCTCAGTTTGAAACAGAGGACTCAGTCAGAAAATCCACATGCCTCTGTCTACAGCATCAGGTCATAAGCATTGTTTAATGTCCTAACTTTTGGGACACAGAGAAGGGCAACGTCAGCAATTTTTAGATGCTTTAATTTTTTTCTCTTTTTAAATTAATTCATTCCTGAATACATTACATATATGCATTGATTTAACAAATCTTATTAAGCACACTGCTTTAGGTGTTGAGCAGGTGGTAGTAAGTGAGATGGCAGAGTCCTGGTCTCAAGAATATCTCCCCACCTTCTAGTGGGGAAAAAGCCAGATAAATAATCTAGTATATACAAGAAATAAAGAAAAGTATCTGATATCGAAGTGCTATGCAGAGAATTAAAATAAAGTGATGGGCTGGCAAATGACTGCAGGCAGGGGTGGATGGTACAGTTGTAGGTTGGGCGGGCAAAGAGGGCTCTGGGAAGGCAGCATTTGGGCTGAGCTCTGAATGAGGGGAAGGAGCCAGTCGGGTGAAGATGGAGAAGGAGGATTCCAGACAGTTGGATGAGAGGGAGCTGGGATGACTGAGACAGACTGGACAGTAATGGGCAAGGCAGAGAGCCACGGGAACCATGATCAGAGAGGCCTGCAGGGGCCAGATCACAGAGGGCTTTGTTGTCCAGGTAACGGGGCCTGGGGTTTATGTATGTGAGATGGGTGCATTAGAGAGTAGAAGCAGAGGACCTGATTTACAGGTTTAAAGGCCGGTGGAGAGTGCCCTGTAGTGGGCCAGGTGAACACCAGGAGACCAGTACAAGGATGTTTGAATAATCCAGGCAGGAGATGATGGAGGCTTGGTCTAGGTAGTGACTATGGAGACGGAGAGGAGTGGACAGTTGGTATTAGTTTTGGAAGCAGAGTCACAAGGACTTAGAGGAACTAGACATGGAAGCCAGTGGAAGGAGGAATCAAGTGTGACTCTTAGATTTGGCTTTAGAATTGGGCAGGTGGATGTGGTGCTCTGAATGAGGTGGGAAACCTTGGGGAGGTTGAGCATCAGGGTAGGGTGGGGTATCACGAGTTGTGTTTTGGTCACATTAAATTGGGGACATTTACTGGACATCCAAGTGGAGATGTCAAGTCTAGGGAAAAGTAAGGGCTACAGATACAGATTTGGGAGTCGCTGGCATATAGATGGGATTCAACACCATGGACAGATATGACGACTGAAAGAGAATGTGTTGATAGAGGAGAGCTCAGAACCAAGTTTCCAATATTTAGAGGTCAGAGAATTGAAGAAGCAGCCAGACAAGGAGTCTAAGACTGTGCCCTCCAGCTGGCCAGTGAAGGAGAAGGAGACCCGAGAGAGAATGGTGACCCAGAAGCCAGTGGGCTGTGATGTTACAGCAAAGGAAGGAGAGATTTCAAGGAGGGAGTGGTCAACCGTGCTGGCTTTGGCTAAGAGGTTGAGAAAGATGAGGATAGAGAAGTGACTGTGCATTTGTCAGCATGGAGGGCATTGGTGACCTTGACAAGAGCCATCTCTGTCACATGGTGGGGACAGGAGTTCACCTGGAGCTGGCTGAGTAGACAGCGTGCATTCAGCACTGGAGGGATGGGGAGCCAGCTTAGTGGAAACCCTGCAAATATTTTGACTCACTGTTCTTTTTGACACTTGATATTATATAAACCACTACTGTATTGTTCATCATTTGTTCTATTTTCACCCTTTGGAAGTACTGTATAGACTACACATGACTCATGTGTACAAGAGAATAACTCAACTAATGAAAATATGATGCTTCCCCATCCACTCCACCCTCACTCAGCACAATGTCCTAAAGGTTCATCCGTGTTATAGCACATGTCAGAATGTCCTCCCTTTTTAAGGCTGAATAATATTCCACTATATGGAATTACCACATTTTGCTTATCCATTCACCTGTTGATGGACAGTTGGGTTGCTTCTACCTTTTGGTTATCGTGAATAATGCTGCTATGCACATGGATGTACATTTCACTTCCTTTTTAAACCTAGCACACTTTCCTCTATTTCTATACTTGACCTAGAATGCATAGAAAGTTTGTTTTGATGTTATAACGTCACATTGGGCCATATTGAGGTCTGATTGTGTATACTTTAAGACTATGGTACTTGGCCGAATCCATAATAATAATAGCTAATATTTAGTGAGAATTGTTGGTTATCCAAGTTTGTGACTATGAAAGGACCATAAAACTGACTATTAATAAGAAATGTTACTAAATTTATATAGAGATAATAATATCCAAATAGATCTATCTATTGGACAGGTGATATCACCTACTTTGGCCATCAATATGACACCCCTAATGACTCATGATCGCGAGAAGAGGAAGAATTTGGACTGGTGACCCAAAGCCTGAGTTTTCTCTCTGGTTCAGTGTGTTGCAGATGCCTGTAGAACTCAACGGCTAAGAGGGCACAAGCGCAGTCTGGCATATAGTAAAACACTACACTTGAGGTGTATTACCCTAATATTTATCTCTATCCTTACTGGAAAACCAGGCACTTGTTCAGGAAGAAACGGAAAAAGCAATTAAATACTGAGTATCCACGTAGCCAGGAGAAATGACTTGCAAATTTTCAGGAAGGTAAACTCTATGGGCAGGTGGAATGATTGGTGAAGAAGTGATATTGAATAAAAATATTAAGAATAAAAAAATAGCAGCTATCATTTGCTGAGAAAATACTACATGCACACACCTAAGTACCACCATCTACAATCTTTCTTTGTGTAATCTTCCCAATAGCCCTAGCATATAGGTATTACTGTCAGTACCATTTTACAGATGAGGAAATCGAGTTAAATATACCGCCCAAGGATATGTACCCAATAAGTGGTAGACCAAGAATTCAAATCCAGAGAGTCTGTGCTCTTAAACCAAATCCCCTACAATGCCTTCCAGGGTGACTTTTTTTTAAAGGAATTGAGGAGAACCCAGTTCCCCATGAAGAGTTCTGCCTGAATATGAATTCTGCACACACTCACGCTCCAATATCAGCCTGGTAGTGTGTTCATGAGGCCTTATGAAGGTCTTTTCCATGCACCATGGGGTCCCAAGAACTTTTCCTGTGGATAACAGAGCTGATGGGACTCTTTCTCCTTTCTGGACCACTGTGGGAGTGCAAATAAGGCTGTTCTCATCCCCTATCCAGCATGGTTCATGAATGCAAATGAGGGACTAAAGCAAGGAGGGTGCAGAACCTCCAAATTCTGACCACGTATCTAACCCTGACTGTGAACGAAGATGACCTATCTACAGTACATGAATACGCCCTGAGCCCATGGAGCTTCTGCTGGGAACAGCACTTGCATCCAACACAGGATGTGGCCATCTCTAATAGTGCTACCATCCAGGATCTTCCAAATATATGAAGAGTCTCCCCATCCCTTCCCATCCCCCCGAAGCTGAGTTCTTTCTTCTTACCTATGGTCCTGTCTCCATCAGGGTCCACCTCCTGAGCCATGCTCAGCGCCTCCGTGGTGGCGATGTCCACGTTACAGGGGACCACCACCAAGTTGATCGTCTGTTGCCTCTGGATGTACTTCTTGATGAGTGCCTTGATCTGATGCCAAAGAATCACACAGGGGAATCACACTTTTCTGGTCATCCAACAACACAGCTAGACAGGTGTGACCGTGAAAAACCAAAGTGGTCCCAGACCGTGACCCAGTTATCACACCTCTGGGCTTTGCTTGGCCTATCCCTTCCTCTGGAATGCCCACCCACCTGCCTTTACTGAGTTCTCTGTTGATTTCCCACTTATCCTTCAAAACTCATCACTGGTATTTCTTCTTTCCCGAAGACTTTGATTCCCATAGCCAGATGGGAATATCTGTCATGATATGACAGGAGCCAGATATCTCCTGTCATGCTTCTGGGATGATGCCTTCTATTAGAGTGATTTGTGTACGTATTGTATCTGCCTGAGAAGCCCAGAGCTGCATTTGTGGTGATCCGTGACATTGGTCCCAGTATGCCCATGAGGAGTCCAGTGCAGCACCCCAAGTGGCAGGTACTCAGTATCTGCTCACAGCACAACTATCTGATACCAGTACTATCTCTACACACATTTATTCCTAATATTAATGACTCTATCTGCAAATCGTTCTTGGAAGGGGTCTAGCTCATCCAAATTAGAGAAATCCATTAAAATTTCTTAGACTTTGTAGGCAAAAGAGAGATGTGGGCAACATAAGCCTTAGAATACCAAATTTCAGTATTATTTTTCCCATGGACAACACAAACAAACACGGAAATGCTGGCACCTTGGGACATATTTCCTTATATTTTGACGCAATTCACACATACTTTTGCTCATTTGATGTCCCATCTAATTATTTTAAGTTGCACACAGAAGATAATACTGCCTCACCACAAGATAGAAAATTTGCATCACGTAAGCACAAACTAGTATTCTATAAACAATTAAACACAGGGGTCAAATAAAAATGACATATATAAACAGGCTGAATTAGGTCTCGGCCTAACTAGGGAAAATTTAACTGAGTAAAGTTATAATCAATCATAACTTTTTAAATTGTAATCAATTATAATTAAAAAGTTATAATCTCACTTTATAAGTGAGAGTTAATGTTAATTGTCTTAAGTTAAAAGTTATCTTCTTCTTGGTGCTTATTCCTCTGCTGCACCCATGTGACTGTCCTGCTAATGTCTGTGAGTGAGCAGACCTTATGATTCAGGGTTCTCCACCTCAGCACCACTGACAATTTGGGGTGGATGACTCTTTGTTGTGGGGGCTGTCCTGTGCCTTGTAGAATATTGAGCTGCATCTCTGGTCTCTACCCACCGGATGCTGGTAGCAACCCCCCTTTTCCAAGTTGTGACTGCCAAAAATGTCTCAGACGTTGCCAACGTCCCCTGGGGGTAAAACAGACTTGGGCTGGGAACTACCGTGGATCTTGGGGAGTGACAGCTGCTCCCCAGAATGTCTGCCTAGAGAACGAAACCTCATAAAGAACATCTTCTATTCATGCAACACACAGTTACTACTGGGCGCCCACCATGTACTAGGTCCATTCTAGGATCTAGCGAGTCAGCATAGAACATACAGGCAATGTCCCTCAGGGTTTATACCCTAGTGGAAGTAAACACTGAATAAAGAGGGTAGATGGAATCGGAAGGGCCAGGCACGGGGTATCAGGCATCAGGGAAGGCATCCCTGAGAAGGTGGCGTTTGAGCAGAACCCTGAAGGAAATAAGAGAATATGCCATGTGGAAAGCTGGGTGGGGAGAGCGTTTCAGGAAGAAGGAAGAGAGGGTGCAAAGATGGAGGGACAACGGTGGGCTGGAGTGTTTCAGGAGTGCCAAGGATTCAGGTGTGGCTAGATGGGGGTCAGGGCACAGTGCTAGGAGATGTGGCCATGAACTAGCAGGGCCAGATCCCATTGGACCTCTGGAACTTTCATGCTGATTGACACAGGAGCCACTGGCGAATTTTGAGCAGCGACAGCCGACCTGTGCTTTGAAACATGAGAGTTGTGTTGGGAACGCACTTGGGATGGGGCTGCTGCTTGAAGAGCAGAAGCAGGAAAAGCAAGTAGGAGGCCAGTGCAGAGACAGTAACTCAGTAAGAGATGGCAGTGGTTTGGGCTAGAGTGCTGTTGGCGGATCGGGGGGAAACGTGGTTGTATTTGGATGTACTTGAAAGTGCAAATACTCTGGATGTATTTGAAAGTAGCGTCAGTAAGTTTTGTAGCTGGATTGGATGTGTCATGTGAGAGAAAGAGAGGAGGCAAGGCTGACCCAGGTGATTGTGACCTGAGCCACTGTGAGGATGGAGGTGCCCTTTTCTAAGACAGAGAAGACTGCAGAATGGCCGGTGTGGGTGGGAAGATCAGGTGCTGGTTTAGGACCCGTTGAGTTTACCGTGCTTATTAGATATCCAAAGGGGGATGGCCAGGGAGCAGCTGGAGATGGGAGCCTGGAGTTCAGGAGAGAGGTTTGGGCTGGAAATAGAGATTTAGGAGTGGTATTTAAAGCCCCGAGACTAGATGAGATACCAAAGGAGAGTTTCGATAGCAAGAAGAGCTCTCTGAGGTACTGTACCATTCAGACATCAGGAAAATGGCGAAGAATAGACCAAGAAGGAGTAGTCAAAGGGAGGGTGGGAGGGGGAAAACCAGAGCGAGTTTTCCCTGAAGCCAGTGAAGATGTTTTTCAAGAAGGAAAGAGTGATAAATTGCATTTGGAAATAAAAATATTTAATGAGCTGAAAATGAATTAGAAGTAAAAGAACATAACAAAACAAAGCACTTAAGAATTCTGGAACATGAATGAAAGCGTTAGGGTCACAGTGCATTAATTTTTCAAATACTTTAACACCAGTGATATTTTGCTGTCTCAACCAATTTGTTTTGGCTGAAATTGTTTGAGATCAAAGTGTTCTGATCGAATCATTTGGACTCCAGTAGAAGACGTCTGGGGTGGCAGAAGGAAGTTGCTTGCTCCGACCCCACCAATGCGTCTTTCTCACACTCCCACCAATTCTATGGATGAATCAGCACCCTCCTAGGAGGGTCAGAAGTGTGGATTTCGTCACTGAACTCAGTAAGAGAAATGAGCTAAACACACTGCTCCCAGAGAGACAGAGAATGGCGATCTGGATGTTGAGGAAGAAAGCATAATTTAACTGCCCAAGACAGCAGAGCTAATGGAGAGCCGACCCAGGACGCACCACCTGGGACTGCCACACCCGAGTTTGTGGGTGGCAGTGGTTGGGTTCCCCACTCTGGCAGTGTCCTCTGTAAAAGGGAAGAGGGTAGGCAAGTGACCCCAGTCTAGGACAGGAGGGTCTTGTCTTCTCCCCCTCCTCCACCCTATCCCTCCACACCCTGGACCCCACCCCTGCTCCCGAGCTTCCGTGTGAGCTGGCTTGGCAAGGCTTGACAAGACTGGCCTTGGGGTGGCCTAGCTCAAAGATCCTCTGTGATTCAGGCCTCTCAGTGAGGACCGTGTTCTCATGCAACCTTACATGGGAAGGTCATTGGCAAAGAAGCAACAGGCTCAATGGCTGTTGGTTAGAGTTGGGTCATCGATGTCCTGTGGCTGTCATCCCTTTCCATTGTGCTGGCCTTCCTGCCGCCGACCAGAGATCGCAGTCTGTGCTCTGATTGACTTGCGTAGTGTTAGTTTAAAAACAATGATTGCTAAAATTGGCAGATTTCATGTAAAAATCCAAATTTCTGGCTTCTTTTGAATATCAGGACAGCTGGTGACACTGGACCTACATCCCCACGTGATAATGTTAGACAGGGCGTGAGTTGTCCCATGCACCTACTCTCCCACAGTCAACTTCTCTTGTTTCCCTGACCTGCCAGGCCATTCTCAGACCCATGCCCTGGACAGTCCTGCCCCAGTCTCCTCTCCAACCACTCGAAGTGAGGGCTAGGGAGGTATACTGGAGCCCTTGGGCTGCTGGCAGAGACCTCAGAAGTCTCCCCAGATTGGCCCATTCCCAAGTTCCAGAAAGGCTCACCTGTAGTCCGATGTCCTGGGGCTGATTTCCCACGGCTACCCTGGCAATGCCGGGAAGGTCAATGAGGGTCAGATCCGGAACCTCAGGGGAAGTGATCTCCAGACTAATGAGCTCGTGGCTGATGCCAACTCCACTTCCAGCCACGATGTTCTGGGCTACAGCGACCAAGAGAGCAGAAACCAGAGTCCAAATTAATGACCATGTGGAAGAAAGCGATTGTTCTTAAGGGTGGCTGCTTCTATTCAGAGTATAGGAGCTTCAGAGAGTCTCTGGTGCTTACAAAACACTTCACAGAAGCCCGCAGAGGGATCTCTGAGGCCACTAAGGGGCTGTTTAATACATAGGTAGCATGTACATAAACCCTCAAAATGACCAATACGTTCACAGTGGGATTGTGGATGGAGTCTATTCTCTTCATGCTTTTCAACATTTTCCAGTGAGTGTTGTGGTGGTTTTAAAATATGTCCACAAATTCTTCAATATTCCTCCCTCCAAAAGGTGGAGCCTAAAGTGTGGGCTGGACATAGGGACTCGTTCCTAACAAATAGTGACAGTGTGTGATGAGGCCATAAAAGGCATCACGTCTTCCTCCCACTTTCTCTTGGATGGCTCACTCTGGGGGTAGCTAGCTGCTCTGTCATAAGGATGCCGAGTCCCTGTGGAGAGGTCCACAAAGTGAGGAACTGAGGTCTCTTGCCAGCAGCCAGCAAGAAACTGTGGCCTTTTGCTAACAGCCCTGTGAAGAAGCAGTTCACCGGCCCCAGTGAAGCCTTCAGATGACACAGCCTCTGCTGACATCTCCACTGCAGCCTCATCAGAGACCTTGAGCAAGAACCATCTAGCTGAGGTGCTACAATTGCTGACTCTCACACACCTGTGTAAGAGAATAAATGTGTTTTAAGATGCTAAGTTTTGTCGTAATTTGTTATGTAGCAATAGATAACTAATACAGGTATATATTACTTTCATGTGTGTATATATATAAAACCTTTAGATTAGCCCTAGGACAGTATTACAGTGTGTCTTCTGCCTCTCTGTATCTAACTCTGTAACATACACACACACACACACACACACACACTAACACATACACATACATACACACACACTAACATATGCACATAAACACATATGACCAACACCACACACTAAATTCCATTGTGGAGTGTGTTTATGGGCAGTGTAGACACCTCTCCACTCCAAGCTACCTCATGAGAAACCCTCTGCTCATCTCCTGTCTGTTGGGAGCAGGGCTAATCTAAGGCTTGGGGTCAGTCTGGAGCTCAGCAGCCCCTGAGAGGGGGGAACCTCCCAACATCAACTGCCAGTCCCCCAGGGTCTGTGGAGGGACTGCAGAGAAACTCAAGGGAGCAGGACCCTGGGCTGAACAAGATCACCTGAGCAAACGTGCCACATCAATAACAGGTATTGTCACTGTTTAACACCATTTGTCATTTATCTTTGGTCATGAACTATTATTGCAGCAATCCTACAGTGCCGTCCATTGGTGGGTAAGAGGTGTCGAAGGAAGGGATGGGGAAAAGGAAGAGGAATTCCTGAGAAGCAGAAGGGAAGGAAAATTATTTCTTCCCTTATATTCTATCTGAAAATGGATTATTTCCCAATATATATTCTTCATAGGAGGTATAAAGGATTTCTTTTTGAGAACTACATATAATTTATTGCATAGCTAATATATATGCCAAACTACATATATACAATACATAGTGATTTGATTATGTGTCTCAAATTCCTCATTCCCATGGGACCAGAGACAACATTTAACCAGTGTGGTGGAAGGTCTGGTTGTGTCTGGGTTTTTCTGCATGCCACATATAATCTAAAAGTTTTTAAAATAACTTATGTAATAGGTATGATAGAAACTATCTGTAATAGTGTTCAAAGGCAAAAAAAATAATTTTCTTTTTGAGCTGGACTTGAACTCTGCTGGTGCAGAAGGACAGTTGACCCTCTCGTGGTGTGGGACCAATTGACAGGGGTCTCTGGGTCGGAAATCAGAAGGCATGCGTAGTTGACAATGAAAATCCAAATGTCAATAAAAATGGTCCCTCAGTGCCATCGGCAGAGAGTTTCCATCACACCTACAACCCAAGTCTCGGTGGTGGGAAAGGACAGACATGACTGGGAGAAGCGACATGGAGAACTGAGCTCTGGGGATCTCCACGAGACCTTCCACAGAGCAAATCTCAAGGCCAGAAGGAGGGGATGGAAGTAGAGCTCAGGAAGTCTCCCCAGCCCCACTTCCACCACCATTTCTGAACTCCACCGCCCTGCACTCAGTTCACTTGGGTATTGCTCACTCACGGTGATGTCCAAATGCCCACGGGTGGGCACTGGGCCCCAGCCAGGTCAGGAGTGTCTCACCCCTTCCTAGAATCATGCCCCTGTAGGTGGGATGGGAAAATCTTGAGTCTTCCCAGAGGCTTTTCATTTTCAAAACCAGAAAATGGACCAATTAAGATATTTTCTGCACAGGAGCTCAGAACCAGGACCTGCTTCACGGGTGTGTGATGTGGGCAGTCACCCAGGGCCCTGTGCTCAGAAGGACACACTCTTGGTTTAATAGTCTGCTTTGCTATCTCGAAATTCTTAATAATTTTGAATGAGGGGCTCTGCATTTTTATTCTGCACTGAGCCCCCTAAATCATGTAGCTGGTCCTGCTCTGAGCAGGGTTTCTCAAAATTTAAGTGCATATGACCCATCAGGGGTCTGGATAAAGTCCAGATTCTGATTCAGCAGGTCTGGGGTGTGGCCTGAGATTCTGCAATTCCAATAAATCCCCAGCTGATGTCGCTGCTGCAGACCAGGAACCACGCTGAGAAGCCAGGACCTAGGGGACCTGTTAAAATCTTGCAATGAGTTGAAGCCCAGGATGATCTGGGTGAGGGGAAGACATTCACGGCAAAAATCAGATAGGTAGAATACACATGCCAAAGACAAGACGAGGACACAGAGACCTTGGTCACCAGCTCCAGAGGAGGCATGGAAACATAAGGACAATGCTGCCTTGGGCCACCCCAATTACTTGCTTTGTCTCCAAGGGTATCCTGTATCCTCAACACCTCCCACATTCCTTCCCCTCTCAGAATTTGCCTTTGTATCCCCATGGAACAGAAAGTGAATCCTGGAATATCAGGGCTGGAAGACACTTCTCTCTCCAGCAGCCTTGCCTGGTAGTCATCAAGCCACACTTGGGACACAATAAACTCGCTGGACAGAGCAACTTATTTGTGACCAATTCTGCCTGACAATGGCTATGGGACCGGGGAGAGGATCCATTTTGATGGACTCCAAAGCTTTAGGTAAAGGGTCCCCGGGAAGGTGGTGTGGTTGTGACCTCCAGGAGTGCTAGGACATTGTAAGTTACGAAGTGCCTGCCCTAGGGGCACTGAGTACACCCCGCTCAAGCGGACAGCTGGGCCTCGGTCAGATGAGAAGAGAAACGCTGGTGTCTTTCCAGGGCACCAGCAATGAAATCTGTGGGCAATTACATAATTCCACCTATATTCGGGGACAACTCTGATCTGAGAAACAGGGAGGTAGCTTAAGCAACAGTTCCAATTAATTGCCTAATCTTTAGCGCTAGATCGGGGGGCACGTTGAAAACCAGGCTTACTCCTTCGCATACTTTTCCTGCTTTAATTATCATTTCAGAATCACTATTTAAGATATGATTTTTGCGACTTTTTATTGAAGTATAACGTACGCACAGAAAAGTACCCATCATCCTAAGCGTGTGGCTTGGTGAGTTTCACAGGCTGAACACACAGGTGTAACCAACACCTGGATCAAGAAACAGAACACGGCCAGCTCCCAGAGGCCCCGACGCTCCCTGTTCGTCATTAGCCCCCATGAAGAGTAACCATGATCCTGACCCCTGACAGCATCCATCCCTTCTGCCATCTTCGTACTTTATACGTGGTTGAGCCAAATGAATTTGCTGATGTACGACCACTTTTGACCTACCAGAACAGCAATTTCATGTGGCCCCGCCTAATTATAAATGGAGTTGTAAAACATGGACTCCCTCGTGTCTGGTTCCTTTCACTCAATGCCACATTTGTAAGAGTCGCCCTCATTGGTGCTTGTAGCTGAGGGTGTTCATCTTCATATCTGTGTTATTCCACCCAGTGGACATGCAACATTGCCTGATCCATTGCACGTGGATGGACATTTGGGTCGTTTCCAGGGTGGGGTTATCACAATAGTGCTGCTAGGAACATTCGAGAACCTGTCTTTTGGTGAGCATTATGGCTGGGAGTATACTCAGGAGTGGAGTACTGGAGCATCATAGGGTGTGTACACCTCCAGCTTAGCTGATATTGCCGGTTTTCCAAAGTGGTTGCACCAATTTACACTCCCACCAGCAGCGGTTGGAAGTTCTGAGATGCTGTTCTAAAGATGCCTTAGCCATGGCCTGCTCATCGTTCATCCTTACACGGAACACTTACCAAGCACGCACCCACAACGTGCTGGATTTCCCCTAGGGGTTCCAAGAGCACCCAGCCCTCCAGGTCATGCCCACAGAGTCAGGACAGATGTCAAAGAATGCTGCAGGGTGTGTGTGGCACCATGGCAGCCCCACGACAGCTGTGGTGGGCACAGCAGGGGTGCAGAGCTTTTATACTTTGAAGCTAAATACATGCCAACTAAAGGTCTCAAGCAGCTTCTGTATTCGGGGGTGAACGCCCGTATTGCGGGCAGGACTTCTCCATTTTGGAAGAGATCGCTCCAGTGAGGCATTTAAGGCCTGCAGACACGGGGTTCTCTGGGCGTGGAGCCCAGAAAGTCATGGAAAGGCCTCCCCCTCAAATACAGAGTTGCTCTTTAGTGATGCGAAAAGCCCGTCTCCCTGGAACTGAGGTCATCGCTGCAGAGATTCCTCTTAGGATCCGGGTTACTTTTTTCCTGCCTGGCTGAGACCAGTATGGGAGCAGGACAGGGGAGAAGCCACACAGGGAGGGCTGGGCAGGCTCAGGGACGTGGGCAGGCAGGGCTGCAGAGGGGGGGACCGCCAGGGGCCCCTCCGAGGGGTACGGAAGTGGACTCCACAGGCAACTGAGCCTCTTGATCCTCCCGTCCTTACCTAACACTAATCTCATGCATTGGTCAAGTTTGTTCACCGGCTGTGCTTCTAGGAACGACAGGTGGGGGGGATCGGTGTTGGGGGACGCTGTGTGGACACGTGGCCACAAGGTGGCCAGCCATGGTTGGGTTAGAGCAGGGTCTCATGACAGTGGTGACCGAGACAGCTGGGCCGTGGGCTAGGGCTGGGGGTCCTGTGGGAGACACATCCTGGAGGAGGGATGGGTAAACTGAGACCCAAAGGCAGAGCAGGAATTAGGCAGGTGAAAGGAGGGGATAGCTTGGGAGACAGGGGGGCCAGCACATGGAAAAGCCTGGAAGGAAGAGACAGCGTGCTCCCTGGGGGACCTGAAGAAGCCCCGCTGGGGAGGAGGAGGAGCAGCCACGGAGCCGCACCTGCAGAGCCCGCGTGGGTCCTACCTTTGTAGATCTCCTTCTCCACCTGGGAGGGGTCCTGCAGCTGGAGTTGCACGTTCCGGTAACTGATCCTCCCCCTCCACACGCACTCGTGCGTCTGCTTTTTCAATTTCAGCACCAGGGGACACCTGGTTACAATTCCTGAGAGAGAGATTCCCAAACACCCTAAGTTTCCTTTAAAAAGAAGCATTTTCAGGTGTCCGGTCTTAGCCACCAAGGAGCTGCCCCAGTGTCCCCAGAGGCCTCTTCTGAAATTTCTGTCCCTCTAGGGCCCGGTGGTACGTGAAGGGGCCTGGACTGGGTGGGTACAAAGGAGCATGGGCTTGGGGACAGGAAGCACTTACAGCTGTGGCCAGTGCCCTGCTCTGGGTGGTCACCGAGCGCCTCCAGGCTGACCACGGCCACAGGCCCTCCACACTGCTCCGTAAGTCACGCAAGCGGAAGTCGAGGCTCCTGCACATCTCAGAGCCCCCCAGTCCTCCTAGGCTGGGGTCAGCACCGCGGGCCTGGGTCGGACCTGCCTTTGTCCAGGTGGTGGCCCAGGGACGGGCAGCAGACGGAAATGTGAAGCAGTAAGACCTACCCAAGGCTCCCTCATGCTCAAGGTTGGAGGGTACAGGGAGAAGGCAGCGAGAGCCTGGGGGAGAGGCGGGACATCCCGCAGGAGGGGGCCGTGGAAATTCTAAAGGTGCGTTTGTCGCCCAGCAGGAGGATAGGAACCTCCCTATGCAGCTGGAGCTGAGAAGGCTGGACCGGCCTGAGCTTCTCGGGGCTGGGGCTTCTGTTGTGAAGGGCTGTGAAGGAGCACTACCCTGGAAGGGAGGTGTCATCTCCTCGTCCAGCCTGGGGACTTGCCCAGGGTCACACGCCTGTCCCTGGCTGCACTGGCATCCAGACTCTCCAACCTGTAGCACCTCTCCCCAAAACACCGAACCCAGGGCAGAGAGGAGGAGCGACTGCCCCAGACTCATACTCTCCCATGCATCAGGCACCTGGGCTGACGGGGATCTTACAGGACACCCTGGAGTAGAGGACCAGGCTGCCTGTGGCCGGGAGGGAGAACAGGCCAGACGCCTAGTGTGGCAGCTGTTGTCAGGAGCCCTGCAGGATCTGGGCAGCCCTCCAGCATTGCACAGTCTCCTCTGTGCCCGGGAAGCAGCCCTGGCAGGAGGCATCAGTGCCTCCCGGCCCCTGGGCTGTGGTTGGGTTTGGCCGATGGGTAGTGCTGGCAGGAGATGGGAGCAAGAGAGGGAAGGGGGACGGGGCCTCCCTCTACCCACTCTGAGGATACCATCTCTTTCCTTCTTTTTTTCCTCTATAATTATTTTATTAAATTGTAAATGTATAGCTTCTTAACTCTACACACACACTTTAAATTTTTTTTTTTTTTTTTTTGCTGAGGAAAGTTCACCCTGAGCTAGCATCCACTGCCAATCTCCCTCTTTTTGTATGTGAGCCGCTGCCACAGCACAACCGCTGACAGACGAGTGGTGTAGGTCCGCACCCGAGAACTGAACCTGGGCTGCTAAAGAGTGTACTGAACTTAACCACTAGGCCGCTGGGGCTGGCCCTTGAAAATTTTTAACGGAAAACATTGTGTCTTATCACACCATAATCCCGGCTAACAGCTTTTCAAAGCATTGAGACAAGTCTTCAAAAAGACTTCACAGGTCACCTGAAACTTATGGATTTAACACCATCAAAGAAAAAATGCTTCTACACTCTTACCGAGACCACAGAAAGAAACCACAAGGTCCCCAGACTCGGACTGATACAGGCCCAGCGATGGCTACAGACATGTGAGAGAGGCTAGCACATCACATCCAGGGCCGCCTGCCCAGGCTGTGCTCTCCAGACCTCAGCCGTCAGGGCCTGGAGGATTTGCCCTCCTGGGTGCCTTCCCAGGGGCCTGTCTCTGAAACCACTGGTACCCCACGGATGCTTTGTGGCTCGCAGGTGGCTGGCTGCTCCCTGCGGGGTGAAGCTGGCCCGTCTGTCCATGCTTACCACTGCCTCTGGGAAGGGCGACTCCCGACAGAGCCTCCAGCACAGAGCTCTTGCCCGAGCTCTGGTCCCCGATGACAGCGATGGCGGGCAGGGCCAGGTCCTGCTCCACGCCCAGGGCCCGAAGGGAGTCGATGAGGTCGATGCACGGGCGCACCTTCTCCTCGTACTGGTTGTACAGGTTGTTCTCGGGCCCCTGGAAGAGGCAGAATGGACTTCACGCCTTGGCCTCTGATAGGGCTCCCACCGCTGTGGGGGAATTCGTGGCAGAATTTGTGCATCTACTCATGTTGGTTGCAGACAGGAGGGTGAGAGGAAGATCTAGATATGCCTCGGGGAGGTCCCTGTGTCCTGTTCCTCTTGAGGCTTTGCTTCTGCTGATGGGGGGCGATGCTTGGCTGGGGGTGGAGGCGCCTGATGAGCACCTCCACCAAGAGGTGGGCGTGCCAAGAGGTGGGAGCTCCCAGCCAGAGGGAGGGAGGAGCTGGGCCTTGGGGCTGTGGAGCTGGGGTAGGATGGAGAGTGGGGGTGGGTTGGCAGTGGTGATAGCATCAGAAATATCTGGAGGAAAAGCTTCCGGGAAGGAGACTCCAGTATGTGGAGCAGAAGCCCCAAGACTCATGTCGAAGAAGGTCATTGCTGTCCCAGAGACTGGGTATGTCCCTGGTACTTGTTGGGCGTGCCCGGGGGTGCTGGGGGACAACAGCTGTGCTGTTGGGGCTGGTGGGCTCACCCACAGCGACACACCGTCCTTCCTCCGGGTGGTGGCTGGAATGCACCCTTCCTGAACACCCTCTCCTAACTTACCTTTGTCCTCTGTTGGCCCCTGTTTCCTCCTGGCAGCTCAGGGTTCAACATCAGCTGGTTGAAGTCCTTGGTGAGGTACACTGAGTCCTTCTCTCCCACCTGCTGCTCTGGGGGAATCAGCATTTGTCCTATTGCTCTACCAGGGGTCGGTGGCTGTTGCTGGAAGGAATCCATTTCTTTTTTTGGATGGTGTTGGGAAGACAACGAATTGTGTTTCTGGCGCGGCGAAAACCTGGGCGCCTTACGCATCAGCCGTCTCCCACTCAGAGCTGGTGTCCCCGTGGTTCAGCTCCTCCAATCTTCTTGGAAAGCTCTGCAAAGACACAAGATGGGAGAGTGACCCAAACACCACCAAGCGGTCCTCCCCCAGGCTGCACCTGTGCCAGCCCCAGCTTGAGCCCAACCCAACACCCCCTCCATCTGCACACAGATACAGTGGGGACCAGTAGCCCAGTGAGGCCCCCTGTCTGCAGGAGGGGCTGTTGGCACAAGCAGGCACAGAGAACAAGTGGGGTTTCTCTGGGCCCCGAGGGCTTGGAGACAAGGGGCAGTGGATTCCACGTTTCCACAGGAAAGTTTGAATGTTCCTCTGTTGCTTTTGATGGGCTCTGTGTCACCTGTGGCTCAGGACGGGACAGGGGACCGTTAGGCATGGAGAGATGAGAGGTGGCATCTCTCGGGCCCGCTGGAAGCCAGTCCCCCCCCTGCTGTCGCCGTTTCTCCCCCTGACCCGGTCGGGCTGCTGGGGGTCTGGGAGAAGCGGGGCTTGGGTCTCTTGCTTCTCAATGTCGGTGGCCTATGTCAGATCAAACCAGCACTGTCAGAAATTGCGGGCGTGTGGACTGCTGGCCTCACTCAGCGCTGCTCTAAGACACTCATTGCGTTTACACAACAGCCTTGTGTGTTAGCTCCTTCTCTGCATTTTCCAGGTCAGGAAACTGAAGTACAGGGAGCCCAGTTACTGGCCTAAGTCAGGAGTCTGACCCGAGCTGGGCAACTCTGGACATGAACCTCTTCCTGCTCTGAATTACACGGCCCCTCCTCTCTAGGAACGAAGTAGACACAGCAGGTTGAATGGTGTGCACCTTCCCGCCCCCCAGATGCCTGTCCACCCGGAATTGTGACTGTGACCTTCTTTGGAAAAACGGGGTTTGCAGCTTTGATTAAGGTAAGGGTCTGGAGATGAGAGTGGGCCCTAAATGCAATAAGAGACTGCAGAAGGAGATTTGAGATGGAGAGACGCGCAGGGGAGAGGGCGATGTGAAGACAGAGGCAGAGACTGGAGGGAGGCTGCCGCAAACTGAAGAACACCGGGGGCTGCCAGGAGCCACCAGAAGTTAGGAGAGAAACTGGGAATGGATTCTCCCTCAGAGCCTCCAGGAGGAACCAGCTCTGCTGGCACCTTGATCTGGAACATCTGGCCTCCGGAACTGTGAGGGAGTAAGTTTCTGTTGTTTTAAGCCCTGTGGTTTAGCTTGGGGAATTTGTTACGGCAGCCCCAGGAGACTAATCGAGTGGGAAAGGACTAAGGTCTGGAGGTCGGCTCCTCCCCATCAGCTGGCCTCTGGGAAGTCCACTGATGCTCCTTATCCAGCTGAAACCCCTCAGCCCAGCCCTTCCTCCCTTGTTTCTGACATGGTGCATATGTGCACTTCTTTACTTTCTTTCTTTCTAACCCCCCGATTTCATCAGTCACTATCCTTTCTAAAAACCTCTGAGACCTTTTTTCAGGACAAAGTCCCTCAAAAGTGTGGTCCCAACCTACCTCTCTGTGTTTATAGCATCTCTCCAAACACTTTGCCTTTCCTCAAACTGGACGTGCACATTCACAACTTTGTGTGCCATGACCTACTTAAAAAAATGAGGTTTAGTTCATTCGTTTATTCAGTCGTTCAACAAATATGTGTCGAGGACATTATGGGCTGAATTGTGTCCACCCAAAATTCATATGTTGAAGTCCTAACCACCAGCACCTCAGAGTGAGACTCTATTTGGAGATATGGCCTTTCTAGAGGTGATTAAGGTAAAATGAGGTCACTAGGGTGGGCCCTAATCTCATAGGACTGGTGTCCTTATGAGAAGAGGAGACTAGGACACAGAAACGCACAGAGGGACGACCATGTGAGGACACAGAGAGAAGATGACATCTACAAGCCAAGGAGAGAGGCCTTGGAGGAACCCACCCTGAGGAACCAACCTTGATTCTGGACTTCTGTCCTGCAGGACAGTGAGAAAATAAACTTCTGTTGTGTAGGCTCCCCAGCCTATGGCGCTTCGTTATGGTGGCCCAAGCAAATGAATTAAGCTAACACAACAACCCACCATGTGCCAGGCACTTCCTGCTGTGGAGGTAAGGTGGAGACCAAGCCAGATAAAGTCCCTGCTCCTGGCACATACATTCTAGCAGGGAGACCCCCAAACAAATAAGCCGACCCACAGAGAACGCTACAATAATGTAACTCCAGGTGACGCTCGAGTGTCTGGAAGAAAGACAGGTAGTGGGCTAGAGATTATGGGTTGGGTGTTGTTTTCCCTGAACAAGCGTCAGGGAAGGTCTGTTTGAGGGCACACCTGTGAACGGGAAATGGAATGAGCAGAGGCGCAAACCTTCCCAGGAAGGACCCAGGGAGGAGCCTTCCTGGCAGAAGAACTGTAAGTGCAAAGGTCCTGAGGTCAGGATGAGTTCAGGGAACAGGAAGAAGGACAGTGTGACTATGGGGGAGGGAGTGAGGGGAAATGACCAGAGATGTGGGTTGTATTGTGGAAGGCTGTGGAGTGACGTGATCAATATCCATGCAGGTAAGGAGACCAGGTGCAATGAAGGACCTGGCCAGCTGTGGGTAAGGGGCCAGGTCACACACAGCCAGAGTCCTGGAGGTTTGGGACCAATAGCCAGGCGGCAGGACTCAGCACTCCCTCACTTCCCGAGTTCTTCCTCTGTGCCCGGCACTGTTCTGAACACTTGACACGTTCACACGCTGAATTGGTCACCACCGCCCTGAGCTTCTTAAGTCCTCGTATTCACAGGTCTGGAAGCGGAAGTGCAGGGAAGATGGAGCTCGCCTGAGGTCACCGCTGTGAGTGGTGGAGCTCAAACCCATGCGGGGCCAGGAGCTGGCGGATGGCGCCCAGCCGGGTGAGAAAGGAGGGGTGAGGGGAGGGGGAAGACGGGAGAGTGGGGGTCCCACAACCTGCCTCCTGTGGCTGCCCACATCCCCTGGGCTCACCTCGGGGCTTCTCTGAAGCTGCAGTGGGGCCTGCCTGCACTGCCTGGCTCCCAAGCATGCACAACCTGGAGGAGCGGGACGTTAACCCTCTGGGGAAACCTCTGACCCATGGTGACCGTGACACCTCTCTTCTCCCACCTCTCAGATGCGCACGTTCCTACCCGGCTCCTTAGAAGGCCCACGCGGCATGGGGCACTAGCTGCCCTCAGTGGGTCGGCTGCACCCACCTTCCCTGTCTCGGTTCACCTGCACAGACCCCACTCCTCCCCCAAGATCCCTTCCCAAAAAATCTATGACAAACTCCTGTCTCACAAAAAACCTCTACTTTTGGGGTGGGGGTGACTAAGCCAAGGCCAAGAGAATCAGAGAAAAGTGGCAGCACTATCTCTTTAAGATAAACTCCGTTATCCAATTACAGGATAACCAATTAGAAACTAGGGTTACCGCTGATATCTTCAGCATGGGGGCGCTTTGAGGCCAGGCCAGCTGTGTGACCTCCGGCAAGTGCTAGAATCTCCTTGGGTGTCAGTTTCCACATCTAGAGAATGGGGATCCTGACCCCTCCTGAGGATGTTGGAGGGTTAAAGGCGATTGCTTATTTAAGGCTTAGCCCCGTGCCAGGCACACTGTGGCTGCCAGAGTGGGAGCTGGTGCCAGGATGGTCACGCTCTGCTTCTCAACACCCCCTTTCCCCAGGTGCCAGACCCCCGGGAGGGGAGAGCTGAGGCCCTGGGCTTGTGCTGGGGGGCTCTCTTCCTCCTGTGAGAGCCTGCAAGACACTCACCGAGCGCCACTGGGAGGACGCCTGCCCATCTCTGTCTTTCTTGATTTTCTTTTTAATTTTTTTTTTTTTTAAATTTTAGAGTCCAGAGGAGGCAGATGGGACTGGAGGATTGGTACCAGGCTTTCTCTGTCTGTCTTTGCAGCCCCCTTTCTCCCGGGGGTCTGAGAAAGCCAAACCCAGATGCAGCTCCCTTCGGGGCTGGGGGTCCTGGCCTCTCTCTGATCCTCCTGGCCTCATCCTGCGGGGGTAGTGCTCTGGCCTTCCTGGCATCGCTGGTGCCAGACCTGACACTTGGTTTGGGCTGGAAGGAGGCAGAGAGGGCCTTCTCCTTTCGCTCTCCTGATTGGTCAGCCCCAGTGACCTGGGACCTTATGTGAAAGGAGAACCCTGCGTGGGAGCCCTGAGAAGGGCCACCGGGTGGAAGGAGCCCCTTCACCTCTGTCCGTGCACCTGCAAAGTCACTCTCTGTCTGTTATTGATGGTCACCTGTCATGCCATGGGAGCAGGTACTCTGAGTCTTCAGTACTGTGGAGTCCCCAGCTCCGCCGATGGCACCCAGCACGTGGCAGGCACTCGTTCCATATCGGTTACAGGAGCAAATGAACCAAAGGATGGATACATTTCCTGCAGCAACTGGGAAGGCTATAGTTCTAGGGTAGGATTTAGGTATTCCTGGGTCCCTTCTTAGAAACAAAATTAGTATCATGCTCCCCCATCCCCGCCCAGTCTTCACATCTCCGTTAAGGCCGACTCCAACCTTCTAGCGGCTCTGGCCAAAAAATCTCCCCACCCTCCCTGCCTCCTCTTTGCCTGTAAGCCCATGGCCTGCCTTTAGCAAACTTGTTGACTCTACCTTCAAAATATCTGGAATCTAACCATCTCTCACCAGCCCCGCTGCTGCCACCTTGATCCAAACCACTGTGGTCTCTCAACTGAATGCTGACCTGGCCACCTGGCCTGGTGACTTTTACTAGAAAAGATGACTGACACCACAATCTTGAAAAGGGCACTGCTCGTGGGGAGCCGAAGTGGAAGACGTCTTGCCCTCGAGGAGGCCCCCCAGCAACACTGCACTCTGGCCATCCTTCACTCTGCCAGGCCTTCTCTGGGCGTGTTAGTGACACGCTGACTCAGGTGTGCCGCCTCCCATAGCTGTTCACGCGGCAATCTGTTCCTCTCCCAGCCCAGCCCTGGATCCAGGGCTGTCATGGCCTTCTGCTTACAGGCCGAGGCAGAAG